GTTCGTCTTGTCTTTACGCACACACTCTCTTATGGCTATCCTGTTCTGTTTAATAGGAAAGCTAAAACAAGTTATTCTCTTGTGTGAGAAATTATTCTTCTTAGATAAATTATGTTCTTAATGAATGAAATTTTATACTAATGATAAACTATACTGTTTTGAATTTAAAATATTATCAAAATCAAATGTTCTCACTTTTTCTTTTAAACTATTAGTAATGTAATAGAATGGAGTCGAACAAATCGCATACGCCCTGATGTCTTTTAGTTTTAATTTTCATATTGGTTTCAGTTATTTTTGTTCTGAAGCATTCATTCAAATATTAAGTTGATGTAAAAAGAAAGAAAATGTTTAATATTGAAAGGTGCGATTATCTTCATTTATTGGATAACTCTTCAGTATTGGCCGGCAAGGTGTATCATTGGATGAAGCACTAATATCATCAACAGATTGGTAATTCTGAAGTGAATTGTTAGTATTATCTGTGTTAACCGGTTGAGCATCATGGGTAGATGTTGAAATTGAAGGTGAATAGACAATAAAAACATTACTACATTCATACTATTTAATTCATTATCTTTAGGTTTCCATTTTTTGTGTTCAGCAAAATAAGAATCAGTGGATGATATTCGGCGTTTATTGTTATCCATTAAAAAATATGAACAACTTTTCAATAACATGTAAATAAACAAAAAAATGTTCCAATAGAAGCCAGTGATATATTCGACGTAAATTATTAGTCATCTCTATGGATAACGATCGACAAAATTATTGAATAAGCATTAACCAATAAAATGAATGAAAGGAGAGCAAAAAACACTATATTTGTTTTGCACACAGAAATCTAAATAGTATTGGAAAGTTAAGAATAATATTCTTCGTTAACCTTGGATTTTATTTTTAATCCAGCTCAATAAGATGATTACACCAAATAAATTAATTTTGTAAGAAACTTCAATATTTTCTGAGGGTTGCTCAAAAATTCATCAGGGGGGCTCAGTCATCCCCTGAATCCGCCGCTAACCGAGAACGAAGAGTGATTTGCCCCGTCGTTTCGTCATTGCTCATCGGCTAGGGAAACCTTTGCGCACTGCTTAAAATGACGACGACCGTGTTCGACTGGTTTTCAGCCACGTCGATGTCGATCAGAATGTCGCAATTGGAGGCGAGACCGGGATCGCGATCCGTGACCAACAACTCGGTTCCAGCGACTATTTTCAAAAAAATTTTCATTTGAGCTGTTCGTGTGTTGTTCTTCAGAAAAGGCGAAAACTTCCAGGTGAAATCCATCACATGCCAAATCAAGCCTTGATTTTGACTATTGTCATTCGAAAGGTCCCTGTGAGAAACAACTTTGGTATTTGAGCACAGAATTCTTTCTTTTCAAGGGTGTGGGTGTGGGTGGGTGCCTGTGCGTGTTACTCGTCTTCTCATAAGCACACCCACACCCACACCCTTCTTGCAGGGCAGGGCAGGGCAGGGCAGAGCGGCAGGGCAACAGGACAGTCCTGTCCCGATGACGGTCTCTACTGCAGAATGAATCAAACCAGACCATCAAGACAACTGCCGAATTTGAAGTTTACCTGGTGATGAATGGATAAAGCCCCATCCGAAACGATCGTCATGGTAGCTAGGAGTCTATTCAATCGAATAATACTCACGCAATCAAACATTATTAATAAATTCGATCGTAGCACTACTCGGTAAACCTGATACAATTCCATTTAATCTTATTCTTTCAGATAAACTAAACTCTCAGAGACTCACACACAACCACCACGCTTAACGCATGTTACGCTTACGGCACGAAACACACTTCTATTCAAACCTTCAAGTAACTATTCAAAAATATATTCACTCAAGCATTAAACTTTCCAATACTACAGCATCACAGCGTCTAAGCTGACCTGAGTCCCACATCAGTCATCATCAACTACCAACGGAGCTCATCAACACGATAAACTTAATCGATCCGGTATGATCAGACCCATCAGCTTCAAGCACACGAAATTCACTTAATAATAGGCATACTTAACATACGCTTTGAAATAGGCCGAAATGCGTCGTAGCAGACTTGTTCATATTACTCACCCTCACCCTCTTTTCTCTCTCTTTTGATCTTTTCTCATAAACAAATTAGAAGGTTTTGGCTCTATGACTTCTTCCCTCACTCTCAACCCACAACCTTGTTCGAAACTAACATACTGCTATAACTGAAGGATAAAATTTATTCTTATTTGGATATCATATTTATTTATAAGAGTCAGGAATATAAAGAGAATAGTAAGCAAACACGTATAAAATAGTTGTAAAAAACTAAATTAATCTCCAATTCTATTCAAATTTTCGTCATAGGTTCCGCTTCGACTCGCGCTTCTACCTCCATTTTCAGCCCACTTCTTATTTCCAGCTTTCCAGACACCACCATTATGTCCGTCTACATCGTAAGTAATATATTGAATATTATTTGGTTTCTGTGGATTGTAATAAACACTTCTACCGTGAAGGCGCATATTCGTTTTTCTATATCCCTGTGCGACGATCAGTTCTTCAGCTTCGTCTTCTCTCATACGTGGACGTGACGTCCTATTAGCCATTGTTAAATCTCTTTATTAATGGTAAGGTTTTAAATCTAGAAAACCGAGAGAATGAGTGAGAGATTTAAAGAGAGATATAAGAAATAGTTGAAGGAACAAGGGACAGACTTTTGGTTTGAATTCAAAATCATTTTACGAAACAAATAAGTGATAAAATTTACAACAAAACAAACGTCACAAAAAAGAAAAGAAACGAAAGAAAGGGAACGAGCTGTCTGAAATATACACCCCTAACAGCCATACTCTTGCTTATTGTCGTTTTTTACACTGCTGCCGCTGTAAAAAGGATAGCAGCTTTCTGTCTGCTTGCAAGCTTAGCTTTGTTTTTTGAAAACGTGTTGTTGAATATTTACGTTAAACATCAACAGCAAGGAAAAAACTCGCAGGTAGGAAAAAAATTTTTAATCAAAAACAAAAATTTCTTCCTTGTCCTTTCGCCGATACGACCTCAGCCAGAAAGAAAGAGCAAAAGTCATGTTGTACGAAAACAGTGTTATTGCATAAGCTATCTGTAACACATTCTGAATAACAGAAAGTGACTAAAAAGAACAACGAAATATTTACAGGGAAATAACCCTTTGAAATATGTTCTTCTTCATTAAAGCATTCTAGGAAGAAAAAAGAAAAGAGAACATTATTTTATAGTTCAAATCAATTCATCTTCATATTTGTTTTGAAACTCGAAAAATTCAACTAAATTATGTACATATAAAGGACGAGGGCGGGTAAACAGATAACGCCGACCCAAACCAAAACTCAATAAAAGTTACTTAGATATTAACGTTCCTTCACTTCAGAGATAGAGCATTTATATTGCTACTCGAGCTTTTTGATCTTATCTACGCCTAGGGTGTTAAAAGAGACGTATTTTGGTATAACTTCAGAATGGGATGGAAAAGCTTTTTACTTGTAGTGTCTACAACTGCACCAAGTTCACAGACGATGCGTATTCGGTTCAAACTGAGAGGGTTCAGTCGACATTTTGAAATTTAAAAAAAAGGAAAACATTTTCAGTTCAGGCTGAACGTTACCTCGGCATGCACCCAAGCAAACAGTGTTTGATTCGTGAGTTTTAAATGTCAAAAACTTGAGTTTTCTCAAACCAAAATTAACCTTTGATCCAAATGATGCTCTGTTTTGGATATACATTTCTATTAAGGCCCACCCCCCACTCAGGAATCGATTTCGGCTTCCTGTGGACCGATTGAGCTCAAATTTTTTTAATGGGTAGAAACTAACTTAGCTTCCAAAAGATCAAACTTTCATCCAATCAAAATTTTCAGAAAAAAAAGAAAAAACATTTACTGTGAAAAAATTAGGTGTAGCAAAAAGTGGATCTAGTCCCACAGTTTTCAACATATCGAGTTGAAAATAGCGTCAAACGATAGAGAAATATTTTTTCTACATTTCCATGTAAGCGTTTTTTGAATTTCACTTTTTAAGTCTCACAATTTAAAAAATACTTCATAAAAGTTTTTCGGACGTTTGTTTAGTACACTTAAAAATTCAATATTTCAGTGATGGAATCGAAATTCAAAAAAGCTTACATGCGATTGTAGAGTTTCATTTTCTCTTTCAAATGAGATCAAGTAGAAATTTTTCGGTTCAAAATTGTAGGACTAGATCCATTTTTACCTCAGATTTTACAGTTTCGAGATAAACAAACAATGAATCATCATGTGGTGTGATTGGGGTTTTCAGTAAATATATCATGTCTCAGCTCAGGAACATTGTAATACCGTGATTAGGATCTCATCTTAAAGAGAAGACGTTGAACTACGCGCCTGTGCTGGTCAAACCAGAATCTAATTAGCTTCGAGTGACATCTAGTGCAATCTTTCTATTCGGTTATTATTTGGGAGTTTTGGAAAAACTGGAATTTGGGCATCGAAACTGTCGAATCTTCTAGATATCAGCACAGATTCTGAAAGAGGATATTTTAGACTATCGTTTCATATAATTTGTCAAAAACTCGAAAACAAGCGATTCTGAGTGGGGGTTGGGCCCTTAAGATAACACGATCGAAATAAATAAAAAAAACCTTTCGAGTGTAAGCCTTAACACGGACGGAGAAAATGGGGGTACTTACTTGCTCATGATGGCAAGCAACATGTGTGTGCGTTGCTATTTGCGCACATCACGCGATACTCTCTATACTACCTCTGCTGTTATTTGTCATGAAAGAACGAAAAAAGCGTTGTTTTCATTTAAGGTTGATGCAAAAAGGCCAGATAAATCACAATTCTATAGGCAGCCACAAAAGCACATATATTTGCTCGGTATGGCGCTCGTTCTGTTGCTCTCATGGTTGAATGATACAGAAAAATACATAATATCGCAGAGAAGGAAAGAACGCAAGAGCTGAGTGTGAGTGTGTTTTGAAGCATACTACGACGCGTTTCGATCTTGCTTAAGGATCTCATCAGGTAATTCTATCGTTCGTAATTATTCTAATGATACAGTAGGAGCCGTTATGTGTTTCTCCGCTTTTGATGGACTCTTCAGTTGCCTCTCTGTTTGTAACAGTGGCAATGCGCTTAATTCGAATCAGAAACTAGTTAGTTTAATGTGTACTCAGATTATTCAATATCGGTTGGACGATTCACAAGTATAACAGATATAGTTTATCTGTTTTGTTTGTGTAGTTAGGGTGTTGATGCGTTTCTTTGCAAGTGAAAAGTCTAATCGACTGGTTTATCTGTGAGAAGTTTTCCATGGAGTTTGAAATCACATATATGTTATTGTTTTCACATTCCTGTGGTAGGAGGTTCGCTGATTAATGGTGAATTTTAAGAAGCAGACTTCTTTGAGGTTTTTTCATTAGCATCGGCAAAATATTTGAGAATCGGTGTCGTTAGAAATGATTGATCTCATTATAGCATGTATTTCTTTCGTTGACTCCGGAGAAGGTGGCCTTTGATTGTTTGTTTCTCTTAGGAGCTGTATGGGATACGGAAGCTGTTATTTTAGCTTACTATGATGGCATGATCTTATTGTTTTTCGGAAATATGAATGATGAGATTATTTTACGATAATAGTGGTCGATGGGCAATCATATGGACATTCGTGACGATCCTGATATTTTGAAGCAGGTAATTTAGCGATGATTTTTATGTACCCTAATGGCAGGCGTGTTTGCTTTTCAGATATACTGTTACATATAATATGTTCTTTTCAATTGGGTGATGTTTTCTTTATTTATATATAACAAAATAAAATTCTGAATAAGTTAAGTTAGTGGCTGCTTAGCTGTGCTTCAGAGTTATGTGTTTGTTTACCAGCCTCAGTTTGCATTTTGCCCTGTTTGCCGCTTCTCACATTCGGAGTATGTTTGATCGTCTTGGCCATCAATTCTTGTTTTAAGTTGTGATTCAGATAAGTTCCAATGATCAGAACAGTATTCATGATCTCTGTTTGATGGAAAGTGTGACTCCACAATCCATGTATATATCGGCGATTGTTCGCAAGTCTTTTTTCATGTCTTAGGTGAATGATGACGACGTTTTCTGGTTGTGAAATCGTTGTTGTCTGTAGGTTTTAGATTATGATTTTGTATGTTTTTACCATGAGTTTGATTAGTAGCTGAGGTTCTAGTTACTTTATCATATGTTGTAGCTGTTGATGTTGTCAATAACTGATGACGCAAATAATCGAAGTCATCAGGGTTATGGAGCATAGGCAAAATGAAATAGTTGGAAAAATATTTACTGAATAATGTAGTGAGCCGCCGATGAATCTGTCTTGGCGAGTACCTGTAAGTCACATACAAAGAGCGAAAAACATGAATGAATACAAGGAACATACCCGTTATAGAGAAACATGAGTTTCATCTGTCGTATTTCTTCTTCAAATTCAACTAAGGTTGTTGAATAACGAACTGCTTTCGTAATAGCAGTATCAACAGTGTTTCGGAAAACATGACCAGGGTGATCTGATCCAAATGGTACGACATACGGCTCAGCTGCTTCTTTATGATACACTGAAGTTGTTAAAGTGCCCTTTCTGTTCTCAATGAGTACATCAAGAAATGGAACACTTCTACCAATTTGTCGCACTAGTTTAATGTTAGGATGAAAGTTATTAGCTTCATCTAACATTTGGTCGATACATTCTAGTGAGTCGTTCGACGTAAAGAAAATATCGTCAACATATCTAAAATGAGACATTATATGCAAGGTATATTCTTCTATGAACCATGTTAAATACCGTCCGTAGATTTCATTGGATACTTTTAGTCGGTGTACAAGTTGTTTCTCCCATTTCCACATGAAAATATTAGCTAGTGTTAAAGTAAATGCTGAGCCCATCGCACCACCAATGACTTGTCGATAGAATTTCTTCTCATAAACG